CTCCACCCCGCACCCGCCATACTCATGGACCTCATGAACCGAGTATTCCGACCCCACCTGGATGACTTCGTCATTGTATTCATTGACGACATCCTAGGCTACTCCCGAAACAAGGAAGGACATGAAAGGCACCTCCGCATAACCTTACAAACTCTAAGAGAGCACCAGCTATACGCTAAGTTCTCCAAATGCGAATTCTGGAAAGACAGCGTGACCTTCCTAGGCCACATAATAACCAAAGAAGGAATTAAGGTGGACCCCACCAAAGCCCAGGCCGTTAAGGAATGGTCCACACCGAACTCACCTTCAGAGGTCCGAAGCTTCCTGGGTTTGGCTGGCTACTACAGGAGGTTTGTACCCGACTTTACAAAGATAGCCCAACCTCTCATTAAACTCATGAAAAAGGAGACCCCTTTCCGATGGGACGACAACTGCGTCACAGCCTTTCAGGAATTGAAGGATAAGTTAACCACGGCACCCGTACTAGCCATCCCCTCCGGGGTGGAAGGGTTCGAGGTCTTCAGTGACGCGTCCAAAAAGGGGTTGGGGTGCATGCTAATGCAACAAGGCAAGGTAATAGCATACGCATCTAGGCAACTCAAAATCCACGAAGAAAATACCCCACCCACGACCTCGAGCTAGCCGCCATCGTATTCGCACTGAAAATTTGGTGGCATTACCTATACGGAGTGCAATGCAAGATCTACACAGACGCATAGAAAGTATCATACAACTAGAGCCTCCTGGCAATAAGGGCCTTACCTTGGAACAAGGACCTTGATGGTTTTAAGGCACCGTAAGAAGTACATGTAACACACAAAATCGCAAAAACACCATGCGACGTCAAAGGGCAGTCAATCAATGCATTCCAAGGAAGAGAAACGCATCACCAAGCACTTGGTCACCAAAGGATTGAACAAAGAACGAGCGACAAGCCAAACTCCAAGAAAAAAAAAACCAAGAAGGTTTGTCATCAATCAAGCAAGGAAAAGACAAAGTTGGCTTATAACCAACTTCCCCGTGAAGGTGACGAGGTTGCTAATTGGAAACCGGACCCGACCTACTGAACGGAAAGAACATGCGAGAGTCTTGACTCATCTATAACTCGTACTTAAGGATCAATAAAACTATACGATGGGTCATCCTATGTATTCAAGTACCTTTTTATTGTGCACATGGGCATGGGGCTTGTCAGAACTTGAATCGGTGCATTCTTGGAATTTTTCCCGAAGAAATTCACTCTTCCTAGTCACCTTCCCGCGGGTCCCCAACGGGACCTTGATGGGACCCTAACGGGTCCTGGATGGGACCTTGGCGGGACCTTGACGGGTCCCTGACAGGAGCTTGGCAGGCGGACGACCGCCCACCTCACGCCCACTGGTACAATGTGCTGATTTCTTAACCCCTCGTTTTATTGATTAATGGCGCACTTGTGTGCCTCGATTGATGAACGCAAGTCTTGGGTAAGGAACCATGGGTCGCCCAAACATGGTGTCATCGGTAAAAGACCTTGACACGCAAGACACCGTCGGAAAAGCACAACCAATTGCATTACACGTGGAGTTGAAGTTGGATTCTACGATGCAACCGACTAGGGATGATTGGCATAAAGGATTGTGCAGACCAAGGAGACGAGTTGGGAACTCGTGCTAAGGACTCAAAAAGGCCTTAAAAGTCAAAAAGCTAAAGATGGATCGGGACTCCTCCAAACCATGGATATCGTTCAAGCACATTTGAGGACTCCTTACAAGTTGTATGGAATCAAGAACGACGTATCCCGTGGTGCTAGGCAAAAAGTAAAGAGCACATTTGTGCCAAGATCTCAAGGGTCATTAAGGACCCACAAGGAAATGAGACGACTCGTAAACTCACCGAGTCATTCCACAACGAGATTAGGTAACCAACTGCGCTTCAAGAAGAAAAAGAGCATGCAAGGACAACTTCATCATTAGAAGTAACACAAAAGGGAACAACAAGAACACCTATGTCTAGTTTGATTTTCGGGTACCGTTCGTAGGTCGTATGAGTCTTATATATTGCATGCTAGTTGAATTGGTATCCCGTTGACCTAGGTGAAAGAAGTAAGAACCCCTTAGGACTATTCTTAGAATGTGAAGGATCACACATAGGTTTTGTTATACGTTTTCTCCCCCTTCCCAATGTGTTAATGTGGGTTGCATGTGCTTGCTATGTGTTATGTGTGCATGTTACCCCGATTTGGTTGAGATCAATCGGGCTATACGGGCAGTCGGGTGGGCTGAGAACCATACCGGCTGTTAACCAGGCTGGTAGAGACCGGTCAGGTATATAAATATTATATAGGACAAAGGTCCACTATACGGGCAGTTGAATGGGTTGAGAACCATCCCAACTGTTAACCAGGCTGGTAGAGACCGGTCAGGTATATAAATATTATATAGGACAAAGGTCCACTATACGGGCAGTTGAATGGGTTGAGAACCATCCCAACTGTTAACCAGGCTGGTAAAGACCGGTCAGGTATATAAATATTATATAGAGCTGCGGCTCATCGGTCGGTTGCGATCGACCCCTCCGTAGTGTGAGACGGGGCAGGGTGCTGCGGGGCCGTGTCAGAGCTATACGCGCTGACCCTCATGTATGGGCATGCGATTGGTCCTGTGGCGCCAACAAAGTGTGCTATGTGATGAAGTATGGACGAGTTGTTGTTATGAGTATCTTGAGGATGAGACTACGGGATTTGTACCGGGGATCGTATATGTTGGGTTATGATTATTAATTGTGCTTATCTAATCTGTCTTGCCTGTTGTAAACTGTATATGCTTGGTATAACTGCTGTTTGTGCTTAGCCCTATCTGTTGAGTCTATCCCTGTTTTAAAAGCTAGAGTTCGTAGGATATATCTTCATGTTCAAAATGGTTTTCGTATATATATATATATATATATATATATATATATATATATATATATATATATATATATATATATATATATATATATGTATTGTATTTCAACGTGTTAGAGTGGGTTACAAGTATCTCTCGCTGAACAGATATATTTGGCTTTCAGGCACAGACGAGTATATCACTAGAGCGCGCTAGAAGCTTGGGGCATAGCTTAGATAGTTTTCCCATTCGGCCTGTGTGCCATGATTTAGTATTGATACTGATTGAGGTTTTAGAATTTAGCCTGTGCACCCGAGTTCTTTAGCTCGGGTGTGGCATAGCACCCCGTACTCTTTGTATCGTATTTTGGGATTTAATGGGATTCTATCTTTATTATATAAGTTTTAAAAGTCTTGAAAATCTGGGGTGTTACATCCACACTCCCGTGTGCTAAAACAAATTCTATCTTCCTGTCCAGTTATAGGTTCTTTTCAATCTTTAAATAAATTGTGTACTGCGTGTCAGATGGGCAAGTCTGCACGCTTCCCATTGTCACGACTTAAAACATTGAGTACAAAGTTTCTAGATTTATGTTTTTCGGATATTTGGGGTCCAGCACCAGTCCCGTCTGTGGATGGGCATAAATATTTTGTGCTCTTCATAGACGATTTTTCCAGGTTTATGTGGATATATCCTATACATCTTAAGTCAGATTTATACTCAATATTTGCTAGGTTTCGTGCCTTGGTGGAAAAACAATTCTCCACCTCGATTAAATGTGTCCAAACAGACATGGGGGGTGAGTATCTCAAGTTAAGTACGGCTCTTGCCGCCGCAGGTATACATCATAGAAAGTCGTGCCCACATACCCACGAACAAAATGGGCGTGTGGAACGCCGCAACCGGCATGTGGTTGAAACAGGCCTAGCTATGTTAACTCATGGTCGCGTTCCCCAGAAATACTGGTCATATTCCTTTGAGTCAGCAGTGTTTTTAATAAACCGCATGCCTTCTACTGTTTCTGGAGGCTCAAGTCCATACTACAAAGTCTATAATCAACATCCCAATTATACGATGTTACGAGTGTTTGGGTGCGAGTGTTTCCTAAGCTCCGGCCTTATAACACTCACAAAATGGACTATCGCACTGTGCCGTGTGTCTTTCTTGGATACCCGGACTCTTTCTCTGGATACAGGTGCCTGGATCGGTCCTCTGGCCGGATGTACATTGCCCGCCATGTTCGCTTCAATGAGATGGTGCTCCCTTTTGCTAAGTCGATGCCGCCTTCCTCTACCACAGGTGATACGCAACAGCCATGGGCGTGTGCCCCTCTACAAAGTCATATGGCGCCACCAACCTGCTCTGCAACGGCGGTTCCTGCTTCCGATGCTCATCCAACAGGTCGGCTAGTCCCTACATCATCTTCGACAGCAGGTGCGGCCACATCTTCTTTTCAGCTGTCTACCTCTTCGACGACAACAACTCGCCATCGCCGACAACGCCAGCAGCGACCCCTAATCCGCACGCATGTTATGCGCTTGCGGACGACTACTGATGTACAAAGGCGGCAACCGACGGCCTTGGTTGCGTCCATTGATGATGACGAGCCATCATGCCATTCTCAAGCTGTTCGACTACCACAATGGCGGGATGCCATGTCCGTGGAATTTAATGCTTTAATTAACAATCACACTTGGAATCTGGTACCGTATCAACCCGGTATGAATGTAATAGGGAGTAAATGGGTGTTCCGCATCAAAAGGAACTCTAATGGCACCATCGAGCGTTATAGTGAAGCCGACAACTGTCAGAATTTTGTTGTCCTATGCTGTTTCCAACAGGTGGACTATGCGTCAACTTGACGTCTACAACGCTTTTTTAAATGGTTATGTAACTGAAGACATTTACATGAAGCAACCGCCTGGGTTCGTGAATCCGAACTATCCGGACCATGTCTGTAAGCTGCAACGATCGTTGTACGGCTTAAAACAGGCCCCACGGGCCTAGTTCACAAGACTCCATGACTATCTGCTTCAGATTGGTTTTTCCCCATCCAAAACAGACGTCTCTCTGTTTATTTACAGTTCAGGAAATACTCGTGCTTATTTACTTATGTACGTGGACGATATTCTCCTAATGGGGAATGATCCAGATATGATACAGGATGTACTAGTAAAGCTTTCAGATGTGTTTCGCATTCGTGACCTTGGCAAACCAAGGTTTTTTCTAGGTATTGAAGCCATTGATAAGGCCGGCAGTCTAGTGCTATCTCAAAAGCGCTACATGACTGAGCTCCTACGGAAGGCGGGCATGGAGTCCTGTAAACCCCTGGCCACACCCATCGCTGTGGCTGCTCAGCACACGACTACGCCTTCAGCTGCTCTTGATGATCCCATGCCGTATCGACAACTTGTTGGTTCGCTTATGTATTTGTTAATTACACGCCCAGATTTGGGTTATGCTGTTAACAGGCTTTGTCAATTCATGCATGCCCCGACCCAAGAAAACTGGGTGGCGCTCAAGCGGGTCCTGCGTTACATCCAGGGTACTCTGGACCTTGGTCTTCGTCTCGCCCCCTCGGCTACACCAGTCCTGCATGCCTTCTCCGACTCGGACTAGGCTGGCTGCTCCATTGACAGGCGATCAACTGGAGGGTATGCTGTGTTTTTAGGTCCCAATTTACTGTCTTGGGTCTCTAGGAAGCAGCGTACGGTGGCCCGCTCTTCAACCGAAGCTGAATACAAAGCCCTAGTTGACGTTGCGGCCGAGGTCACGTGGATTCAGTCTCTGTTAGGAGAGCTTGGGTTGTTACCGAACACGGTTCCCATCCTATGGTGTGATAACCTCGGCGCCACCTATTTGTGCCCAAACCCGGTGTTCCATGCACGGACGAAGCACGTTGAAGTCGACTATCATTTTGTCTGTGACAAAGTGGCCAAGGGTGCGCTCAAGGTTAATTTTGTCTCAACGCACGACCAGCTTGCTGATATATTCACCAAGCCGCTATCTGCTGCTCGTTTTAGTGACTTACGTTGCAAGCTAGGCGTGGTTCCCTGCCCCCCGCCTGTTTGAGGGGGAGTATTGGTGCACATATTTTGAATTAAATGTTTATTGGTTGAGGTTGTTTAGAGTTGTTAGAGTCCCTTATCTTGTACTGCTCCACCTATTGTGGTGTTTAGACTAGTTATATAAACTCTTGTACGTTCACGGAGAATAATATTAGACACTATTCTAATTCACTATATACACCCCCTATTGAGATTCCAAGCTCAACGGGTTAGTTACTATCTCTGGCAATGGGGATGAGTTTCCCATGTTGCCCACAAGTCACAAGTAACCAAACGACCCTCCGGAGCTTCACTACCAGTCCGTTCACACATAAGTCCCCACACTGTCCAGTTTACCCGTTCAATCATCTCATCATGTCAATCCATCATCTCAACAAGAGTCAAAACACACGAAATCTAGAGATACAACAACACCTAGATTCCACACAAAGTGTGTACAACAACGGATACCGCATCTGTACCTTGGAGATTAAGGTCTCATACCCTTAATCGTGCAATCAAGGTACAACCAATACCCATGTTTTCATCACAGGAATCAATCAATGGATCACAACAAAGATATGAAACCATACTCAACAAGGAAGGATTACAATCCGACACCAACGATGGTCAACACAAGTTGCCAACCTCAATAGGAAAGAACAAACCACACACACTAGCATTACAACATCAAACTAGCATGCATATCAAACGGGTAAACCAAAATAGTTCCAATGAACCACAAAGACTCAAAATCAATACAACGAATCACAAGGTTGGATCATAAACACGATTCAAGACACCAAATCCTAACATGGATTCCTAACTCATCGTTCTAGACATACGAAACATCAAGAAGACTCAAAAAAGCTCAATAATTCAACAACGGGAGGTCAAAACATCAAATACCAAGAAGAAGGAATCACGGGGGACAAATCCCCGCAATCCCAAACATGTTCCCCGCGGGGGGAACCACGGGTAGGGCTCCACCCGTGGGTACGCCTGCACCCAAAATTTCAGCATTCGCGAAAAATCACTTTTTAGGCCAAGTTCAAGTCCAAATGACTCCAAATCTTCCACACAACAAAGATATGACTTGAACCTATGAATAACTCATAAAATAGCATTCAAGAACCCTAAAATACAAGCTCTAAAAATGTATCACCACAAGACAATGCATCAATCACTCAAACACATCAAGAATGTCACATAGAAGCCAATAATCATTATTATCAAGTGAAAATAGGTTTTGTGTAGCATGGTTACCTCTTGTAGACCAAGAACACCTTCTTCAACCTTAAATCAAGACCAAAGCTCCTCTAGATCAACCTAGCTCTTCACCCACCACTAGATCTTCTACAAACTCCCAAAACCCACAAGGTAGAAGAAAGATTTAGAGAAAAGATGGAGAAATCTTGTAAGAAAAAGGTAGGAAAGGATAGATCTTGCCATTCCTAGCCTTGTAGTGTTGGAAAGTTGGAATCTTGGTGGAAGACTATGCAAAGCTTGGAAGTTCCCTTTTTAGCTTAGAGAGCAAGCTAGGATTCTTTTAGAGAGAGGTTGGAGAGTTTTTAGAAATTTGGCTAGCATGGAATGAAGACAAGAGGTCTTGCTACGGCAACATGAGCACCTCTCATTAGTGAAAAGACCAAGTTACCTTACTAAGGTTTGGATGAATAAGGGATTGAGGTACAACACAAAAGGCACAAGGTACACCAAGAAGACTAGTCAATTTCTAGTCCTTCGACTATGAAATTTCAGGATTTTAGGAAGAAATTACCAAGGAAGCCTAGGATTAATTCCTTAATTAATCCCAATTAGCATTTAGATTTACGGGGTGTCACACCCACTCCAGCGCCTCTACCACCACCTCCGCCTCCCCGCTCGAGTCACGCCCGAGTCCGTGGGGACCCCATGCGGACCTGTGATTCGCTTCGCAGCTTAGCGTCCTCCAACAGGCTGGAGACCATTCGGGCAGACGAGATTAGCACCAATCTCTATGATTTAAGCTCTTCTCTTCTTCTTACATTTCCATTATTGTTGAGTGTCTCACCCCTCCCATTTCAGGTTGTCTTTCATTGTGTTGCCCTCTATGATGATCATGAGGCCACTAAGAGGCAGGTTGCTGAGCACTCTAGGGCTTTGGAGTCGGAGAGAAAGGCTTTTGAGCAGGAGAGGCTGAAGGATGAGCTGGGCCGGCAAAGTATAAAAGCACAAAAGTATAATTGCATAATGTTAGTATAATTACCTAATAATTATTATGGTAATTAAGGATTCAGTTGTAAAGATATTAGTATAATTGACTAATAATTATTATGTTAATTAAGTTAATAATTACACGGATATTAGTATAATTCAATTAAACATAGGTCGTTGGTTTTTTATAATAATTACAATTAATTCGTTCAAATATGAAGGAAGAGGAAAAAAGTAAAGGTGATATGGTGAAAAGTAATATATACTTAAGGTATAAAAGTATAATTGCCTAATAATTATTATGGTAATTAAGCTAAAAATGGGTCATTGAATTTTTTATAATATTTATAATTAAATTATTTCTCCTTTTTTAACGTATTTATTTTAGTAATAATATAATTAAATAAATCATATTACATATCTATTTTATTAAGATTTTTTTTTGACATTATATATTTTATTAAGATAATTGTAGACAAACAAGTTATATATTATTCAATTAATTGGGTGATACTTTTGCACTAATCATATAATCAGATAAATGTACACTTTCAAGTATTAGAATTGTTTATAATTTTCTTTAATTTTATTATCTAATATATGATTAAAAATATTTATCTGTGCATCGCATGGGTAATTGGGTAATTATTTTTTCGAATTCAAGCAATGATAACATCAGACAACATAATCGATCCAACACATTTCATCAATTGCACTATATAATTTTTCGTTTTTTTAGCAGGATCCGTTGTTGAGTAAGCATTTCGTCGTTGAAATTTATCTCTGCCCGTCGACTCTCATTAGAAGCATACCACTCCCTACGTTTTCTATTCCTCTCCACATGACTAGATTCAGAAATTTCATATTGGCGAGACTCCATAAAAGAGATGTTTAAAAAACAATAAATTCATTAAATATTAGCATTAAGTTATTCAAGTATCTTACTCCACAAACATATGTATCTCGTTATAGCTAAAACTTCTATTCTTTTTATGCAATGTATGAAATTGTCCACATAGTAAAACTATTCATAGTATAATAACTTGGCTTCAAATTAATCGAGTTATTATTCCACCTCTTTCTTGAGGAAATCAACAATGAATCCATTGAGGATGATAGTGGTGATGATATGATGATGATAGCGGTGATGATGAGGAGGATAGTGGTGATTATGATGATTAGTACAAGTCTAATCATCATCACCACTATCATCATCATTCTTCCCATTTTGGGATGAATGGGAAGAATGATGATGATGATAGTGGTGATGATGATGATGATAGCGGCCGGTGATGATGATGATGAGGATAGTGATGAAGGGTGCGTAAACCTTAAACCTGGACGCGAAAAATGTGAGTAAAATAGTGATGATGTTGTTCCCATATAACTACATACTCTTTCTTTTATATATATCACTGTGAATTACAACTGATAAGCCTTAGGTGCGTGAATGCAGACCTTAAGGTGCGTATAATTAGTACTTAAGGTGCGTGATATTAACACATAAGGTGCGTCAGTATGAATTACAACTCTCAATACTTAAGTGTGTGAATTTAAAACAAAATTCAGACTACAATGCACAATAACACAATCACAAAAATATCTAAAAATTAGTAAAATCATTAGAAGTAAGAATACAAACACAAAAAAAACACCTAAAAACTAAGATGATACAATCCTTCACATAACAATAACTCGATATTTGGATGAATATGTGAAATTTACCTTGTACAGGAGTCGTTGGTTGCTGAGGTTGCTCATGTTGGGGTATATTTTGTTCAGACACCATTGATGCTGTGTTCTAAGAAATTCTTCGCACCAAGTGAAATTCATCGATAATGAAATTGAAAACATACACAAACAGATATTAGCAACAAAGTATAATACAAAACTTACTGTAATTTTCCTTCTTCTAGACTACGGTTGATCGGAAAAGCTTTGAAAAATAGAGAGAGTAGAAGAACATGTAAAATGCGAGAGAGAATGCAAAAGAAAACATAGTGGAGAAGACAAGAGTATGAAGAGTTTTTTTTTTTTTTTACTAACTTACCCCTCAGTGCACGAAATTGAGTCAAAATCACTGTCGTTCCATTTTTAAGATCAACGGCTGACATAATTGGATGCAATTATGATCAACGGTGCAAATGCAACCCCACAACCGCACCTGAATATATATATATATATATATATATATATATATATATATATAGAGAGAGAGAGAGAGAGAGAGAGAGAGAGAGATTAGCATAAAATTACTATAATAAGAACCGTAATTTATTTTGTTCTCATAGTATTATACCTTAAGTATGTATATTTGGACACGTGGACGGCGCTGAATGGTTCTTATTTCTCTCCTAGGCTGCCGTTCGCATGGGAACGTACCCGATATATATATATATATATATATATATATATATATATATATATATATATATATATATATATATATATATATATATATATATATATATATATATATATATATATATATATATATATATATATATATATATATCAAATAATTAATTGTAATAATTATACAAAATACAACGATGCATGTTTAATTGTAATTATACTATTAGTATGATAATTATTAAGTTAATTACCATAGTAATTATTAGTCAATTATACTAATATTCGTGTAATTATTAGCTTAATTATCATAATAATTATTAAATCCCTATCTCTATCTCTATATATATTAAAGTAAAAGGATATATAGCCACAAAATTTTCCCTCCAAAGTTTGAATGCAGTTTGATAGAAACAAGATTAGCAAGTATGAATGCATTAATTGTGTGGGTAGATGTATTTATACATATTTTTTTGA